TATGAGAGTCCTCTGTTACTCATTTTTAATCACATGTCCATCACAAACTCCTGAATCTGGCAGTAAGGTTTTAATCAGCACACAATGACATGAATTCTATCTATTAGTTGCCACATCAATATTTGCATTTATGCTCAAAATATACCCCGCGGTATATTTAGAACCGTTGCCCTACAAGCTAACTTCCATCATGTATGTATCTTCTATTAGGTATCGTAATAACGACAGTTCGAAATACATTTCCTAGGATGGTCCATGGTACTATGGTAGCTCTTTAGGTATCGTATATTTTTTGTGTGCATCATTCACCTTTGGTAAATTCAGTGCGTTGACCACCAGCAACCACTTTCTTTTCTGTGTATTGGTGCAGTTGTTTCATATTCTGCCAGCATCATTTCCCTTTCTTCTTGCTTGCTCTTTAATTATTTCCTTGAGCAACTGGATGGCTGTTTATGCCCGTACATGTTTTCTTATGGCTCTAATTTTTTGTATGGCCTTCACAGGAGATGCATGCCTTTTATTTTTGCAGTTTCAGGTATTAACGTTGTTGAAGATCATCCTCAACAACTCCCCGCCACGCCAACTAGCTGTAAGACACCGTTCCCCGAGTTCTTACTTACTGCTGTAGTTGATTGGATTGGAAGATATTTGTGTTTTATCAAATTCATATGGGATTCTTTTATGTTCGAGAAAAAATGATGCAAGAGAACGAGGAAGGCCCCAACCAGCCGACGGACGTGGCGGCTGCTGCGGCTGTTGGTGCTCTGGGCGCGCAAGGGTAGCTCGATCCTCCTCCTGGTCTAGACACTGCAGCACAACCGTGTCAGCCTTGGCAGCTGGCGCATCACAAAGTTCTACGTGTAGATGAACTGCAGCGACAATTCTGGAGCTGCAATACAACGACATGATGAAGAGAAGCATCTGATAGATATAGCGTTAAGATTGCTTGTTTATTTGATGTGTTTGGTTCACTTTTTATGAAGAGGAGCATCGTATGTAATGCTTCAGCTGTACATGGATGTATGTTATCAATCAGAGCTCAAATTCACTGGAAAGGGTGCCACACTACCTGGCACCGCACAAACTTTCTCTCAGGTGGCGCCCCAACCACTAGTAAGGGGGCATGGGTCCCCTCCTCCCATGGCTCCATCAATGAGGTTGCCCCCCAATAGGGCCTTTTTGTTGTGGAGAAACAATCATTTTATAAAAAATGGATGAGTTAATTGTTATAGTTCTGTTTTTCTTTAAGTAATAGTAATAATTTTAAAAATTATTCAAACTTTTCTTTTATTACTAGCACAAATGCCCATGAGTTGCAACTGGAGACATTATTACATGTCTCATGCCTCATTAATTTTCGCCCGTCCTCGTCTCATCTTCCCAGTCCGCCACACACCCATGTGTTGCAACGGGATAAAAATCACTCGCACTCCTATGGTTTTTGTAGAGGAAAAAATATTGCAACGGGATGAAAATTCCTAGCAGTCCATTGGTTTTACTATGGTTTTTCTTAAACAATAGATATTGCAAAGCAATTATGTTTTAATGTCCCAATAGGTTATCGTCATTTTTTCTTGTGAGCTCCATATAATTCTGTTTTAATTAGAGAGCTTTTCGAATGATTTAGACTGGTATATGACTTCATCTTTCCACTCCACATCCATGGCGTGTACCTTTCCAACCATAATTTTTAAGGCACTTCACATCAAGGTTCATTTAAGCAGCCTCTCTTTTCCAACAAATTTAGTGTAACAAAATGGATGATTGGTTTATTCATTTCGATGCTCGCTCTCACCCGTACATACTTGCCCTCAAAGTACCTTTACGGCATTCATCTCTACACTCCTGATAATGCTCACCCTCCAAGCTAACTCATCAATAATTGCTTGGAGGTCGGGGATGCTATGAATTTGTGTCCAGACTACCAGGTGGATCACGTCCATCATTCTTTTTAGAAAAGGAGGTTAAAGCCCCGGCCTCTGCATCAATCGATGCATGCAGCCATCTTTATTAATCATTTCATAAATGTCTGACAAAAATATACACCAATTCACCCGAAGCCACCACTCAAACCTACAAACTCGATAATGTGGAGTGCTCTCACTCCGCATATCTAAAACCGCTTCAGCCCCATACTCTCCAATCAGCACCATTAGTCCATGGAAGATCCAAGGTTCCTAGAACATCACCTTCTCCCAATGGCCAAGACAAAAATCTGGAAGACAAGTAAGTTGTCGCCAACCCCATGGATGACCCAATCATGGGCGAGGCTCCATGCAAACTTACATGTCCTTCAAAGCACTACCGCTAAAACGGTCTCCTTGTATCAATGTCTGCAACCGCCGGCCAGCCATCGCGTTACTTTTGCAAGCTCGCCTATCTTTTCTTCAGCGACAAAGACACCATCTAGCTCACCCTCTTTCATATTCATAGTCTTCATGGTTGTCTCAAGTAGTCCTTCGTTAGCGCCAAGAATGCTCCTACCGTTCACCTAGCCACGCCTGAAGAGAGGCGCGAGATGGGCCGGCCCAGGCGTGTGGAAGGCCACAACCTTATTTTAGCTTTTTTCACCTTTTTTGTTCTTTACTTCCTTTTTTTAATTTTTCTTATACTTACAAATACTTAAAATAAATATATTACAGAAACACTCTGCATAAAAATACTTGAAAATGTTAATCTGGCATTTGTTAAATATCAAAAGTGTATATAAAAATGTTTCTTATGTATACGAAAATGTGTAAAAAAAATACAATATGTCTGAAAACAAAGTTGATCATGTATTTAAAAAATGTTCATCAACCATTTAAAACAAGTTAACCATGTATAAAAAGATATTCCTTATGTATATAAATTTTTTTAGAACGTGTATAGTTTTTTTTTTAATTGATCATGTATCAAAAAAAAGTCAATCATATATTTGAAACATGTAACCTTGTATATAAGATGTTCCTGATATATACCGGAAATGTACAATGTGTATAAGAAAGTAGTCATAAAACACAAAAGTTGAAAAAATGTTAATCATATATTTCAAAAATAATAAATGTGTACCGAAAATATGCTCCTGATTTATATGGAAAATGTAGAAGATGTATTAGAAAATTTTACATATTTTTTATAATGTATAAAAAACTGAAAATGCCTGATGTACACGTAAAATGTACAAATGTGCATGACAATGTAGACAGAGAGTAGTCTCGCATTAAGCGAGATATAGCTTTGGCGCTGTACAGCCCATGTAGGCTTCGCTTTTCCTACCGGGTAATAGGAAGGTTTGAGGATTCTCAAAAGAAAAAGGAAGTTTCCCAGCGTTTTTTTCTGTTTTTATCTCATTGCTCTTTTGCTCTTTTTTCTCTGTTTTTTTTGTTTCTGTCTCTTTGGGACAGGGTCTGTCTACTTTTTCTGTATTCTGCATTTTTAAAATTCCTGAAGTTTTTCGAAGTTTCCGAACATTTTTTGATTAGTCGTTTCTTCAGACAAAATTTTAACTAGTCATGGTGTGGGAAGAGCAGACCTTGGGCCGGTCCATCGCATACCGCACATCATCCGGAAGAAAACGAAATTATTTCTCAAAGGAACTCAAGAAAAAGGAAATAAAAAGACCCCCCAAAAAAAATACTCGTTCCATTTCACAAGAACGTCTTCAAATTAACATATACACTAGTGTAAAAAACACTCTTATATTATGTGATGGGGAGTACTACGCGTCCGTCGGCGGATCTTTTTAAAAGATCCGCCGCCTGGCGTGCCGTGCGATCTAGATTGCTCAGCACACAATTCCTCTTTGCAACAAGAGTATTGTTTCAGAAACAATGATGCTTTGTTCGGAAACATATCGATAACTATTGCAACATGAGCTTTGTTTCAGAAACATTGGTGCAGTTGCAAAAACATCTCTACGTATGATCCCACTTTGCAACAAGAGCTCTGTTTCAGAAACAACTATTGCAACAAGGGCTTTGTTTCAGAAAAAATATCGCTCGGTGCTGGGATGGATCAGTAGGGAGGGCTCCCCGACACTGACATCATTGATGGCGAGGCCATGCGCCGCGCTGCGCGCTGCAGGAACGATGACCGGGGCGCGCGGATTTGAAGCGCTGTCACCGACGTCAGGTGGTGTCTTGGCGAGATGCAGGGCAGGAGAGATGTGAGTGGCAGGGCGGCTGACTGCCTAGCCGGCGACAAGTGAGGTGGTGAAAGAAAAGCGGAGGCATGGAAGTGGAGCGGCGAAGGCCTGCCTCGCCGTTGAATGACGGCTGTTAGAGCAGACCGGTGGCGAGCACGTGCGTACCTAGCCATGTAATCTGTTTGCAGCAAGTGCCGAGTTGCAGAAATGATTCTGAAATAAGGATGGAGTTGCAAGAACGTGAAGTAGGTGAAGGTGACGCCCGACCATCCAATCAACAACAGATCGAACCCTCACGGAGATGGACGACGCGCGCGGAAAGATCCGCCGGGTGACCACAAGCTTTTCCCTTATGTGATACAGGAAATAGTAGTTTGAAAAACGTTGTACGATACGACATGGTGGGACAGAGGGAGTACACAGAAAGAAAATAAAAGGAAAAGGAGAAAACATAGACTCGCACTTGTTAGCCCCGCCCGCCCGCCGGCTCCGTCGCTGGCCGGAACTCGAGTACAAAACGGAGCCAGAAACAAGGATAGACAGGGAGAGCAGAGCAGAGCTGGATAAGAGTTGGGGTCTGAAGGAGGGGGAAACGGAGGTGGTTTCTCGGCCAGATCCAATCCGAGGGACGAAGGTTTCTTTCGTCGGCCACTCTCTCCAATCGACCTCCTTTACTGGAAGCTCTAACCTTTTTTTGGCGCCAGGAAGCAACCGGAAGATTCAGGTGGGTGACACCCTGCGTATATAAGTTTTATCATGATCAGAGGGGAACACAGAGGATCTCAAGAGATCGGGCGCCTTCTCTGCTTTGTTCTTGTATATATCCAATCCATAACGATCCCCTTTTTCCTTCCGTCGTAGCGCAGGTCGGCTCATGGCCTCAACAACAACGGGTAAAAGAAAGGGATCGGCCTCTGAACAAGGCGGCGGCGATGGCGGTTCTCAGTCTGGCAAAGCAACGCGGAGCTCAATCCCAGACCTTCCTGAGGTACCGGCTACTGATGCCTTGAATTCTGATGCATAATAGTACGATTTACAAACAGAGTAGAGATCTTTCTGGTCACGTCCTAATGTTTTTTTCTTTTCTTTCTGGTCACATCCTAATGTTGACAGAAAAAAAAAGGACGGTTTTTACTGAATGAGTGAGAAATTCGACGATTCGTTCCGGCCGCTTTAGTGCTACTGTAACTGGTGTGATTTAGTTATGGCACATCTAGATTCGTTCCCGGCCGACGATTCGTTCCGAGCGGTTTTTACTGGGTTTGTCTATAGCGCATCTAGATGTGCCTTAGTTATTGCACTTCTAAGTGACACAAGCAAGCACAGAAAGGGAAAGGAAAAGAAAAAAAGAAAATATCCACATGAATCTTCGCGTAAGATTAATGATATGAAATTTAGATGTGCAATGAGCACATCTATACGTGCTTTAGCAAAACTGATTTAGCAATTACTCCCTCCGTTCTTTTCTTATAAGGTGCAGTTCGGCTGTCCAAAATCCAACCAAATTCACGTCTTGACCAACAAACTGTCTAAAAAGTTACCCCCGTGCGGAAATAAGTGACGTTGTTTGAACTAAAGCAGCGTCACTTATTTTCGGACGGAAGGAGTAGTAAACTGTGAGTCATGTGCTTCAAAATTGACACAGTTCGGTTCGTATTCAAAAGCATTTGCTGACCACTATCATCTTCTAACTATCAACAGACAATAGTGGGGGGAAATTGATGGTCAAAACTCTGATTTTGTAGTGCTTATAAAAATTAACAGAAGGAACGATGAGTAGCACTATGACGCTAGTGTTGTGCTGTCGCAAACATCATGCGATCAATGATTGCATATTCATTCTAGAAGAAATTGGAAAAATGATTCATCTTTCCACCTGCTTCGATCACAACCCTCTCTAAAGCATTCATTCTGCTACTGTGGTATCTAAAACCCATAAAAACATAACAAGATTTCACTGTTCTGCTCTAGATGTTATAGGATTTTTTTCCTTCTGTGCAATTTGTGCTACCTGAATCCAGAATAAATTACGATTTATGCATTGAACTCTGTATTTTTCGCTTTTTTCTTTGCCTTTATGATATTGATCAATTAACCCATACCTTGTGCAACCGTGTGGAGGGCTACCTGGGGCACGATGTTACTCTGTGTGGTTATACTGTTTCTTTCTCCAGAATGCGCCTCACAATATCAATCTTGATTTTTTATCCAATGCATGTGTGTGCAGGACATATTGTTTCGTATACACTCCTTGATGCCAATGCGTGAGGCTGCGCGTGTTGCTTGCGTATCTCGCACCTTTTTCCATTCTTGGAGATGCCATTCCAGTCTCATCTTCAATAAGGACACAATTGGCTTGAAGAGAAGTGCGTGTGGAGAGAATTTTGACCACAAGATTGACCGCATTCTCAGGAACCACTCTGGCTGCTTGAAAACATTCAACATTGACTACTATGGCACGAGCGGGTTCACTGGCACTAGTTATTTTGACCGTTGGCTTCAGATTGCTCTTAAACCAGGGATCGAAGAACTCACCCTTGTGCTGTCTGAAACAAAGGGAAAATACAACTTCCCATGCTCGCTTTTATCTGACGGGGTTCGGAACTCACTTCGGTACCTTAGACTCCGATTTTGCGCCCTCCATCCCCCAGTTGAACTTGGCCCCTTGAGAAGCCTGAAAAGCCTGTATCTGTGGCGTGTGAATATTACATGGAATGAGTTAGAGTGCCTTATTTCCAACTCTCTTACTTTGGAGCTACTGGATCTTATTAGTTGCCCTGAGATTGAATGCCTGAAGCTACCTTGTGCTCTGCAGCGGCTCAGCGCGCTTAGTGTTTTAGCATGCGAGAGACTGAAAGTGATAGAGAGCAAAGCTCCAAATCTCTCCAGTTTATACCTTTGCGGAAACTGGTTAGACTTCTCACTTGTGGAAACGTTGCCGATAAAGGAACTAGAATTGCAACAAACAAACCTTATCCGTGATGCTCGTGCCAAGCTGCCATCCCTTATGCCAAATATTGAAACTCTCGCCATACAATCATCGAGAGAGGTATATATTCTCCACAATGTAGGGTGTTGTAGGCCAGCAGTATATATGGTTAAATTAGTCTCATACCTGGTGTATCTGATACATGACATCGTTCTTGTGCAGGTGGTTGATGCACCAATGCTGCCTACCAAATTCCTCCACCTTAAGCACCTGACCATCACTGTGAGATCAGGAGCAATTGTTTCCCGAGCATATGACTACTTTTCTCTGGTTTCTTTCCTCGACGCTTCTCCTTCCTTGGAGACTTTGATATTAGATGTAAGGCGGTAACGCTGTTCACTTATTTCATCCTGCAAAGCCATCCGATCAGTCTGGGTCCGGTTAACTGAATCATACTATCCTTTTTAACGTCAGGTGACTCAGCGGCGTATGGTGCATGAATCAATTTTTGCGGATTCACAACTGAGGCACATGCCCGAACACCGCCATGGCCACCTCAAGAACGTCAAGATTAGCGGTTTCAACTCTGCGAAGTGCGTGGTTGAACTAACATGTTATATTCTCAAGAACGCGGTGTCACTTGAGTGTCTTACATTGGACACCATATATGGGAGTAGGTGTGATGATCAAGGCGAGGACAACTGGTGTACTCCCATGACGAATGGCATTCTCATGGAAATTCCTTGGGCACTCTTGGCTATCAAAACACACATTGAGAATAAAGTTCCACCTACAGTTCACTTAACTGTTCTGGAGCCTTGCAGCAAATGCCATGCTAATGGACTAGAGCGGGTATTATCGCAGTCGTGACATGGTGTCATTTACATTTAGTTCTAAATGAGCCATGTTTTGTATCTTATACCATTTATGTGTGACCCTACTGTACAACAAAATTTTAATTAAATCTAGGATGGACATTTTTTATATTTTTCCTGGTGAGGCATGTTGATATGGTTGCAAGGGTTTGTTGTGCTGTGCCCCGGCTGAACCTATTTTGTACCTTGTTGCACTCCTTGCTTTCCTTTGAACCTTTAACCTTTGATGTTGTCGCATGTAGGTGCGGTTGCTTTATAATATAAAGCGGTGGGAAACCCTTTTTCGTTGATATGGTTGCAAGGATTAGCTGGCCAATGTTGAGATACTCAGTTGCAAGATGTGCTGTGGTTTTTTTTCTCAAACTATATTGTTACCGGCAGCCAAGCTTAGTGCTTAATCTGCTACAACCAATTGCCAAGAGAGGCACAAGCTGCGGCAAGTTGCCAAGGAATACAACTCTTGACCAAAAAATATACTATTTTAAAAAGTATAAAAGGAAAAAAAAAACAAGCCAATCTTTCATGTTTGAACATACCGTGAGACGCTTCAAAAGAGCATAAAAATTATTTGAAGAATAAGGTAAGAGGATACAATTATTTTCAGGGATTATCGTGAAAATGCTTCAAAAGAGTACAAATAAGGTATTCTTGTGTCCCATCGCATGAATGTGGCCTTGATTTTGAGACGGGTTTGAAGGATTCTCAGGGACGATGGGGGTTTGTGGCTGCAGCTTATTAAAGTGAAGTACTTGCAAGGCTACCCTCTTCTCACTTGTGAGCGTAGAGGGGGTCCCATTATGGAAGTCTATGTAGTCAATGAAGGATGAGATTCGACTTGGGTTCTCCATCTCCATAGGCACTAGAGATGGGACCCCCTTCTGGTTAGATCCATCGCTGGCATGAGATTTGACTTGGACTTTTCATCTCCATAGGCAATGGAGACGGGACCCTCTTCTGGCTAGATCTATGGCTGGGACGATCTCCACTTTGTGTCGAGTTCCCGAATCTGTTTGCTATTTGCTTGGACCCGATGATTTTCGTTGCCTCGTACGCCCATGATGGGAATTGGAATGTCTCGTTCCGACAAACATTTGGGCCTGAGCAAACCGTAGCTTGCGCGACCTTCGGGCGGCCCTCTCACCAATACTTCCAAACTATCTAGACGTTATATCTTCGCACTTGGCCCCATCAGGGCTCTTCTCTGTCAGCTCGGCATATCATACTCTATGTCGTGAGCTCACTCGTGCGTGCACCACACCTCTGTGGAAAACGTCCCTTCCATAGAAGATCAAGATTTTTGTATGGCAGCTTCTATGTGGTCGCCTCCCATCGGGAATGGAAGCGGTTAAGCGGCAAGGGCCTAGCTATGGGCTTTGCCCTCTTTGTGGCGTTCTGGAGTATGGAACCCACATCTTCTTCGTCTGCCCGCTACATGTTTCCTTTGGAGCTTTGTGTATGAGGCTCTCGGGCCTGAGTGGGAAGCCCAGGACCTGGCTGAGTTTCTGGAAACTCAGGCCAACCATAGTAGTACGAGGAGACACCTCTTTTGGTTAGTGTTTGTGATGATGACATGGACCCTTTGGATGACGGGTAACAAGATGAGTTGGTCTTCATTTGACGGGCCACTGACTCTATTTTAATTTCTAGCCTTTTGCAGCACTAACATCCGCTCTCTAGGCAACGAGGCCGAGATAGGTTAGGCGGCATGATGGGCGCTCTGATTGTGGCAGGGCCCCGCCTTGCAATGCCTTCTACCCATTGATTTGTTGGCCTCTTCGTGGCATTTTTCCTTATATTTTTATTAGGGCATGTTTGTATTGTTGCCCTTGCAGACCATTGTTTATGTTGTCTCAGTACCTAAACATATTGTATGGACATCCTGGTTTGTTTTATCTATAAAGGGGGGAGAAAGCTTGTTTGGAGATGAGAAATTTCAATACTAGTGGAATACATATCGTCTATCATGGAACGATATAAAAGTGCACAACGACGACTATAACCAACACTGCAGGGGGAGGGTTGGTGCTACCGGTGCATGCAATTGAAAAAAAGTTCCTATGTATGAATGTCGAAAAGTTATGAAAAAAATGCCACGGTGGCAACGAGAACATACTGCAAGATTTGAAATCCAAATTCGAAACAAAAAATGACAAATTCCCCAATGATGAAGAGATAAGAGAAATCATGAACGTTGATGCGTATTTGCATGAATCTTGGAG